AACTGATCTGTTTGTTGTGATTCTAGTTACTATGGTAACTCGACAACTACAGAAATTAATCTGTTGTAGTGATTTTACAGTTGCTATGGTAATGCAACAACAACTACAGTAACTGATCTGTTTGTGGTGGTTTTACAGTTGCTATGGTAACACAACTACAGAAATTGATCTGTTGTAGTGATTCTATAGTTGCTATGGTAATAATGCAACAGCAACTATAGTAACTAATTTGTTTGTGGTGATACAACAGTTGCTATGGTAACACAACAACTATAGTAACTGATCTGTTGTGGCGATTCTACAGCTGCTATGGTAACACAAGTACAGAAATTGATCTGTTGTAGTGTCTCTACAGTTGCTATGGTAATGGAACAGCAACTATAGTAACTGATCTGTTTGTGGTGGTTCTACAGTTGCTATGGTAACACAACTACAGAAATTGATCTGTTGTAGTGATTCTATAGTTGCTATGGTAATAATGCAACAGCAACTATAGTAACTGATCTGTTTGTGGTGATACAACAGTTGCTATGGTAACACAACAACTATAGTAACTGATCTGTTGTGGTGATTCTACAGTTGCTATGGTAACAATAACAACTATGGTAACTGATTCGTTTGTGGTGATTCTACAGTTGCTATGGTAACACAACAACAACAACTATAGTAATTGATTGGATGTTGCATTATTTTACATGAATAATTCGTTCAGTTTACTGTAAATCATACATGTGTTGTATGCCGTTCCAGATCTGCTTAAATTGTGTTCAGTTTAGAGAAAACGTGAACTCTCTAAGGACACACACTGAAAACACCACATATGTTTTACTCGAATCTGCTGAGGAAGCCAATCAAGAGGGCAAAATATGTGCTTCCTGCGAGCTATTTCTGTAGCGGAAATCAAAGTGTTGCTGTTTTTCACACAATCTGCAGATTTTCTCCACGCTTCACCTTCAGACTCGCAGTAACCTCAGCCGAACTCCAGCGTTTCTGCCTCTGTCCTTCATAGGAAATGCTTCACTGTTTTACTAGAGAGGATTCTGACGCTTGTTTTCTTCGACCTCTATGACGAGAGGCAGAAGCGGAAGTGAGCGTTTCCAGGACTTGTGGAAAACAGCGTCTTTTTCTGAATAACTCGAGACGTGCGTATCGCTGACTGGGCTGCTGTTTTTATGACCTTTAAAACAAGAAATGGTCATCATGTGATCCTGCTGAACTCCCAGCTGACACTAGAGCTTGATAAACTCCTCCAATCTCACAGTCGTCATCATTTTGCTGAGCAGTTACTTCAATATTAGCAGGAATAGCAGAGAAAAATGTTTACATGCATCAGGGCGAGAAAGTAAAACTAAAGCAACACTTCTGACAGTATGTGAGGTGAAACTGCCATCTGAGCTTGTCGGTATTTAAATTTGCTGCTGGGTGTTTTTTCAGCCAATCACATAAGCCGTAAATGTCATGTGACGTATCACTCTGGATTATGGCAACACTAATTATAGTCATTTATAGTAAAGTACACAAATTAGTCTGTTTGTGGAGATTCTATTGTTGCTATGGTAACCCAACTATAGTAATGTATCTGTTTGTGGTGATTCTACAGTTGCTATGGGAACCCAAGTATAGTAATTGAACTATTTGTAGTGATTCTACAGTTGCTGTGGTAACAAAACAATTATAATAATTGAACTGTTTGTGGTGATTCTATTGTTGCTATGGTAACACAACAACTATAGTAATCAATCTGTTTGTGGTGATTCTACTGTTGCCATGGCAACAAAACAACTACAGAATGAACATGTAACACATACAAGCTCAGAACTTTCACAAACTTAGTCACTCTATTCATCAGGGGTCGCCACAGCAGAATGAACCACCAACTATTCCAGCATATGTTTTAAACAGCAGATGTACTTCCAGCTATAACCCAGTAATAGGGAAACACCCATATACACTCATTCACACACACACACACACACACACACACACACACGCACACACACACACACACACACACACACACACACTACAGCCAATTTAGTTAATCAGTTCCCCTATAGCGCATGTGTTTGGACTGTGGAGGAAACAGGAGCACCCGGAGGAAACCCACACCAACACGGGGAGAACATGCAAACTCCACACAGAAACAACTGACCCAGCTGGGGCTCAAACCAGCGACCTTCTTGGTGTGAGGCCACAGTGTTAACCACTGAGCCACTGTGTTATTATTATGTATTTAATTATTTTTTTTATCATTATGGCTTTCTATTATGGCTGTTTTTTTGTCTGCATAACAAAAGCAACATGTGTAGATGTCAGTGCTTGAGATCATGAGTGTGTCGACACTCTAAATGGATGAAATATTGTAGTTTACTGTTATTTTTTCTGGTCCTTGCTTAATTTTAATGGTACAGTTCTGGCCAATACAGCTGCCATGTTTTGTAGTGATGTTTTTTTTTTTTTACCAGTGTGATGTACTGGAATGGAAACACACAATCTCCATGAATGGCTCCTATGTGTGTGTGCATACGCTGCTGATTTAATAGGTAACGGAGTGTGTGTTGTGTGTGTTGTGTGTAGTCTGTTTTTTCACAGTGACTTTGATTCATATGCATGCCCCAAACACCCTGACCTCAGATCTCCTTACACTACAAATGAAATTCATCTGTTGCTGGCTGT